ACGGAAATGAAAACGCATAATGTTATTAAACAGAGGTATTATTAATTATGTCTCTTTCCAAAAATAGAAACATGAAAGCCATCCTTCTGAAAGCGAGGTGGACTGTTGTACATGATCTGAACTTGAGAGCGATCCGTTCGTCAGCATGCGCATCGTAGTAGTCATTATCCCCATTTCAAAATCCTTAATCCAACTACTTTTTTTCTTTGTCATGGTTATAATTTGTACTATTATTTTCATTGTTAAACAATGCAAGAGAGTAATCCATAATATCATTTAAATTACTGAAACTAACAGCATACGCGTGCGGCGTGCATGTTATCTTAATTATTAAGCCAAATTAACCCAAACTATATATTATATTTGGTCGTCACATAAATATACGATTTAAGCAAGAAGATACAATTAATTAATTGAAACTGATTTTCAGTTATAAATAACAATTGGATTTCAAGTACTTGGATTTGTAACTTGAAACTTTGTTTAAGCAGAGAGAAGTTATATTCGGTAGCATGTGCTATCCGTATAAGACAACATTAGCTAAACCAAACAAATCTACATGAACGTGTTACATTCGAGCATCTTTACTTGCATAAATCATTAGCCACATACATTCTAATTATGGCAATCATCTAACTCGGCGACCAATATTCTTTTTATCACCGGAGATTCGGAACAGTTGAATTCTGGAACCATATGCGTAAGTAAATGCAATATCAAATCTGCAGTAACGGCTCAAGAAGAAAACGGATGTATCTAAAGGCGACCGACTACTTAAATCCATATTGTCGGGTAACATATGATTGAACTGATAACAACGAGCACAACGCACTCACTCTTAAATATCATGGAAAACATCAAAAATATCTTAAGGCTCAGAAATCAACATAACGATTCAACTTCATACCAAAAAAAACATAATGATTAATTTAAACATTACATGAGCGAGCATAGCTTCTTATACATATGCACGTTATATATACCAGAAAACAAACACGACCGGTACACTTAAAACTACATATAATCAATTGCATATAATTAAACGAAAACATCTAGAGGCAATATTCAGCTCCTCGATACACATTTAGAAATACCATAATTAAACATTACATAAACGAGCATAGCTTATACATATGCACGTTATATAATCCAGAAAACAAACACGACCGGTAAACTTAAAACTACATAACTAAACGAAAACATCAAGCTAGGGGCAATATTCAGCTCCTCGATACAAATTTAGAAATACCATAATTATCATCCTAGAAATTAAAAACCCTAACGGGAACATATATAATTATTATAGTTAACGCATAGCTCCTTTTGTGATCAATCAGTTCCAAAGAGAGTCAAGTCCAGCATGAAGCAAACCGGCCTTTGTCTCGTTCTCTTGAGCCGCCGTCGGTAGCCAGTAATTCATCCCGGAGCCACCATAGGAAGAAGGCAGATTAACGGAGGAATTCATAGTCGACGCAGAAGACGATTCAAAGTAAGGAAAATGATTGAAGTTTTCTTGGAACGACCTTAAGTTAGATAGAGTCGAGACGTTTCTAGAGACGAAACGAGGGAAAGGGTCAAAGTCAAACCCAACCGGCGCAGGCGGTGTGAAATGGTTGAATGAGTCAACGTTCACGTTAAGGCCTAAGGCAGTAGTAGTAGTGGCAGTGGAGAAACAGGACACGTGCTCGGTTATTGCGGTGGCTGTGACGGTTGTGTTGTCGTAGGAGCAACTGCTATCGGTGTAGCCGAGGGTTGTGGTCGGATCCAGGAGAGGAGGGAGTGAGACGGAGGAAGGCGAGCTTGGTTGTTCTTGGTAGTTTCTTGAGATGGTTGAGGGTATTTTCGTCTTTTTAGACGCACCGGTACGGCTGCTTACGCTAACACTTGTTCCTCCGGCTCCGGTGCTGGCTAAACCGGTTTTCTGGAAAACCCTAGAGATCACCCACTCGTCCTGAGGGAATAAATTTAAAATGTTGAAAAGTTAAATTCTATATAATATTTCAAAAGTCAATGTTAGATTTTGGAGATAAAAGAGAGTGAAGATTTAAAATAACCATGGAGTAATACTTTGCTTGCATAGAGGGAATGTACATTGGACACTGCAAAGGGATATTGAACACTAACTAAAATTATATAAATTAATCAACAGCATATTTCATTTAATATTTCTAGGTCAGAAAATCCGATGGGTTTTGCATTGAGTTTTCCAAAAGTAGGATGCTTTTATTTATTGGGATTTTAATCATAATGGTGCTTTCCTATAGCAAGATCTTTAATTTTCTATTTTATGATCCATGTCATGATGCTGTCACTAGTATAACCCTAATTAATCCCCATTCCTTTTCAGCCATCAATATTAAATGCAAAAAAGCAAAACAAATAAAACTCAACGTCACCGACTATGTCATACTCTTGGGAAAAAAAATCCGGAAGATTTATATAAAATTTACAAATCAAATAATAAAAAGTTTTAACCAAAACAATCAGACAAATTCTTAAAAAAAAATACCAATCAAATTCAAAGGGATTAAATTAAAACAAATACCTTGGAGCTTCTGGAGATGAAATGGTAAGCGAATTTTCCTTCAAGACGATATTCATGCATAACCCAATTACTCTTCTCTCCTTTAGGAGCTCTTCCTTTGTAAAAGACAAGAGTCTTCTTCATCCCAACAAGTGCACTAGTCTTTGAACTGTAAATCTCTCTGTCTTTTCCGGTAGCTTTCCAGTAACCAGCCTCCGTTGCTCTGTTCGTTCTCAGCCCCGTCGGATATTTCCGGTCACGGAGGCTAAAGAAGTACCATTCTTTCTCTCCCATCTTAGCTTTCCCTAAAAGAATTTAAGAGTAAAGATTTCAAGAATCTTAATTACAAGAACAATAT